TACCGGGAATGGAACCAGGTGAGCTACAGAGATCAATACAGTGTAACAGTCTACAAATTGATGGGGATGTTGATGCAGCTCCTATGGATAGGTATTTACCAGAAGATGGTTCAATGCCCTCTGTGATGTCACCTGTCAAGAACACTGAATGTACTTCCACTGTCCAGACAGGTATGTGTACCACATCTTTAAATGTACTATGTACAGAATGTACTAGTAGACAACATGAATTGTGTACCAGCATCTTCATTATTATCTTCATTGTTGAATGTGTATGATTGTACGCAAACTCTCGATAAAAAGTATTCTCCACCATGATGTTTTCTTGTACGATTTGACTTGCAACAACGTCCTATGCCCTGATTGGTTATGTCTGTTAATCAATCAGAATGCTGTGTTGTACCTTGTTACAAATTCTCTGGGAATTCTGATAAATTTCTGCTAATGCAATGCAAAGTGAATTGTCAAAGTATGATGTGTTGGAATTAATTTTGGCGAAAAAACAGCATGATTTGTTTTCAAAAATGGTAATTACAGTTTTTGAAAACGAAACTGAATATGGAAAGAATTATTTACTGCTTTTCACAGTTATTATCAGGTCATTCTTGAAGTGTGGTTTACACATGGTTACCATGGTCTACACATGGGGTGGTGCTAAGCTGGATGAGCATGGTATGTACAGAATGGAGGATAACATCATCTTATGGGCTGTACTTATTTATAACGCTACTAATAATGTATGTTTTCTGACAGATTCTAGAACTGACAATAATCCTGTCATCAGCTTTCGGAGTCTTGACTTTCGACGAGGAAAAAGTTCAAGGAAATCTGCAGGTTGGAATATACAACATTTTCAAGACTATGAGGATATCTCGCGAATATCACAAAGTGTACTCAAAAAGAAGTGTGGCAGCCATATTATAGGCGAGGTCAATATGATCACGTAGTTCATGCTTCATGCTTTGTGGTATTCTTGTGATAAACCTATTATTATACATTTTTAATAACACAAAATGCCTGCAAAAATGCATTTTATAATTTGGTGCCATCATTACTGTTTGATGGCGTGATACTGTTTCTTGTACACGACACATTTGCTGTAATTGATATAAACAAGGTAAAATAATGGAAAATGCATATTTGTTACGTTATGAAAATTTTAAACTTTGGGCAAAATATTTTTGGGAAATACGGAAAGCTAAATGTTTCGGTGCCGTATAATGAAATATATCTGAATTAATCTTTAAGTTAATAAAAGTAGGATTAGTGTTTTTCATGAAAATAGTAATATAATAATGGTATTAGAGAACAGTAATACTGTACATGTATTGTCGTAAAATCTATGTTTTGTTTATGTGATGTTAAAGCTATGCGATAATGCAAAGAATCCAAAACTTACACAATAGCTGCACTGTATGTGCATCAGAACAGTCAGGTGCAGAATATTAATTTAATGAAGAAACATGAAGCAAATAAACAGCTACATGTATCAATCACACCTTCACCCCCATGCCTTAAAGTGCCTGTGCAATGCCCACCCTCACGTTTCCCATTTTAGATCTGTGTCCCACTGAAAAAGGTAGTTATTGATTTTTTTGCTGAAAATGATTATTCGTATCCAAGTAAATTTGGGATATTTCTCATGTTGTAGCCACGCCCACTTATCGTGAAACGGTCGACTGTTTCCGGATTTCTGACTCTCGCCGAAAGTGTGCCACCAAATGACAAAATGTGAGAGGAAGTCATACCCCTGAGCCGTAATAACACTGGTCGTTCAGTATACTTTTAAACGATATACATTTTTCAGTCGGCGTATTTTTTCTTTTTATTTTGTATATTATATTTTTTTTTGAGAGAGAGAGTTTGTAGATGTTGTGTTGTGGGCAGTTGCAGTGAAACGTATAGCCATAGTGTATGTATTCACACGTTTCTAATCGATCCGAAGGTGCGACATCACTTAACCTTAGATTCATTCAACTGTCCTCGTCCATAAAAAAACGACTAGGTTTAAAGAG